TGACCGACAATTCGGCAAGTCTATGTGTTGGCTGAGCAGGGAGTGTGGTCCGAAATCAAGGTGCTTTGGGGGCTGCTCTCTGTGAAATCCCTCCGGGGGGGGGATGGCCTCCACGCAAATCCTCGGGGATAGAAAAGAGGTGCCTGGAGTCCAAGAGCGTGTGCCTCTGCCCCGGGCGCCTCGGTGGAGCACGGACAGGGTCAGCACCTCCCTGGAGACCAGCGCTGGTGTCTGACCTCTGTTCCCACTGACCCTGGGCGTCCAGCCCTCGCCGGGACAGAACCCACAGGCACGGGGGAAGGTGAGGATTCTCGCAGAGGGGCTTTCTTCCCAGACCGTTTCAGACAGAGCTAAAGCCTTTCCCCAAGGAGCCAGCTTGCTCCCGAAGCTGACTGGAGCACGTTTGCAAAGGCCACCCCTGGACGGCGGGGTGTGGGGACGGGCACGTCCCCCTGTCCCGGGCTGGCTGAGGCGCGGGCTGTCTGGGATCCCAGATGCATTTCCAGGTTCCCTTTGCCAAAGATCCCGCGTGCTCACGGATACATCCCTAGGGAGAGAAAGGTTACTGTTTCTATTACTGAAAGAATAATTCTCTGTTGGAGTAAAAACGGTAATTTCTCCATTAGCTAATAGGATAATAGCTATTGTTTTAAAGTTAAAGCATTTATCATGGAAGGGCGGCGCTGGGGTTCGCGTGCCTTGGTTTTCACGCTGCTTCCTATCACACAACGCGTGTTCTTTTTGTGCTAAATAATCAGCAGAATCTGAGGCAACTGCACTTTTTCCGATTTCCAAAGAGCTGTGCAGACGAATTTGAAACAATAACATCGTTTGGTTTCTCCTGTAGACGACTCAGCATCCCTAAGGCGAGCCGCTCACACGGGCCCTGGGAAGGACCTGGTTTCCCTGCGCTGTCCCCTGCCTCCTGCCTCCTGGGGCTCCGCAGGTGACAAGCCTTTCTTCTGGGCAAACAGTGGGTCACGGCAGGTCTGAGGAACAGGGACAGCGGGGTGGGGCCCTGAAGCCGCTGTCCTCTGTGGGCAGGGCCCTGCCTCGCTGGGGCCTTCAGGGTGACCCCTGAGCGTAGCGCCTCCTTGGTGGCCGTTGGTGCTTCTTCCTTCGCAGAACGAGAAGAGAACAGAGGCGCCGGGGAGGTGGGGCCCCCATCGCGGCCTCTGTAACCCGGAGGTTCAGGCCGCGGGCAGGGCTCTGGCCCAGCTGGGGCTGCAGCACCGCATCCTGCGCATGACAAGTGCGGCCCAGATGGGGCATATTGACTTCTGGTTGAGAAGAGAGGTGTTCACCCTCCTAGTAAGGCTCCCCCTGCAGGTAGCCCTGAGCACATCGGAGCACCACGAACTAGTGGCACATTTATCACAAATGTCGTTTTAAGATACTGTGTGAATGCACTGGCCGGGAGACAGACAAGGGGACTTCCACACCTGGGCGTGGGCGGGTGAGGGCGGGGTCACCTGCACACCTGTGGCTAAACTCACTTGGCACCGTCCCGCCCCCTCCTGGGACCCGGTTCCAGACCCCACTGACTTGGATGACACGGCCCTTCCTGCATTCTCGTCCTCTGTTAGCTTCAGTTCTGGGGGGCTCTGCACCAGGCGGAGCACAGTGTGGGGTGCTCTGACTCCCGGCGGGAGCAGTGGAGGCTCTCCCAGTGGCCACCCCCCAGCCAGGACACAATCCTGCACCTCTGGACCACGTGGCCCCGCGTTTCCGGGGCTGAGGCCTTGGCCCGCCCCTGCCCTGTGATGTGTGGTTTGGGGGACTGTCTCTGTGCCCACTTAGGTTTGCATTCCTGACTAGGGCCCACCCCCAGCTGCCAGGTTACGTTTCCTCTCAGGTAAAATTAGTCTCTGGGCCCCACGAACCCAAGCTGTCCCCGCCTGGCTCCGAGCCCTGCTGCCAAGCGAGGGACACCACGGGCCACCCACCTCGACTAGAGACGCTCGCTTCTACACCCAAATGGAAAAGTCCTGAAGTAGTCCTGCGTGGGGTAGGGGCGCGGTGAGGAGGAGATGGGCACCGTGTCAGGTTCTTCTCCCAAACGGCAGAGGGGTTCCACCAGCAGCACAAATCCCATCTCTGTTCCAGCCACATGGGCCCGGGTGGTGACGGAAGTGTTGTCAGTTTAATCTGTTAGACGCAGGACTTTGGATTCTAATAAACCGATGCTATATTTAACCTGTGAAATATTCAAGAGTCGAAATCTGGGCTCCAGGATGAGCGGATGTGGGAGGCACAGGGAGGGGAGTCTGTCCCGAGCCAGGTTCCCCCAGGTAAGGGCTCTTGGGCTCAAGGGGCGAGGACGGCTCAGAGGGACCGGCCACGCCGAGGGGGGAGGGGACAGACCCAGTGCCAGAGGGGAGCCGCCCTGCCCTCCCCGTCCCACCCAAGTCACAGCCATGTGTGCGGCTGCATCACAGGCAACAGCACAGCCAGCCTGGGACCCGTTTGCCAAAAACCAGCTCTGAACTCCAATGAGTTTCTCTCGAAAAACCCGGAGAGAGATGATTTGCTGACAGGGACTAGAGCAGACAGGGATCTTGGACTCGTCTTGACAAAAAGGGGTGGGGATGAATGGGGAAAATGTGGGTGTGTTGCCAAACATCGCTGAAAGGGCTTCATTTACATTTTTAATAAGAGAGTCTCTTTCGAAGGTGAGGTGTGTTATGCGCGGCTGGGAACATCTCTCATTTGTCTAATTCTCGGTTGGGAGCGATGATTCCGCGTCCCGGCAAGGGCGGTTTGAACACAGTAATAAAGGTATTTTACAATTTTACACGACATTCCCAGCATTTTGTTGGCATGATTTGCCAAGGCCAATAAAAGCTTGTGATTACCATATAAACGCTCTCCCCACTCCTCCTTGTGTGGGTTCAGCCCCCCACCCTGCGCCCTCCTACGCCTCGTTACCTGTGGGAGCTGCAGCACAGGAGAGGGAGCCCTGGACCCCACTCCACCTGCCCTCCGGGCTGCGGGAAACCTCAATCACGTCAGCAGGAAGGAGCCGCCCTGCACGGAGGCTTCCAAAGACCTGGCTCCCCCACCTGCCACCCGCAGGACTCGGGGCTCGGACTTCTGAGGTCCAGAAGGGAGCCCAAACCCCACCCCATCCCCAGGCATGTCCCCTGACCTCCGCTCCCCTACTTTACAACATCGCTTACCCAGAGAGAGTAGCCTCCCGCAAATCTCTCTCTCTCTTTACAATGTTCCTTCTTGGGCAACATTGTATCCAAGCTGCCTGGAGACACTCGCTGCTCTCCAAGTGCCCAAGTTCACTGAAACTCCCTGATTTACAGGCGGCTCCTGACTGCCAGCACCTGGCAGACACAGCCACCACCTCCGTCATAAACAGAGCGCATACGATTCCGTTTTAATGTGCTCGTTAGTCGGAGCACATTTCAGACATAATTGTGAACGCAACACAAAATTATAGCAAAAGGACGATTTTAATGCTGCCGTAGAAAAGGGGTGATATGAAGAGTCACATAACGGTGGTTCCTCGTCAACCACGGAACGGGCGCACAGTGTGGCAGAGCGTCTGCGCTGCGTACATGCGGTATTTTACACGTAGTTCTCGTGTGGTGTCAGCTGTCAGTTAGTTCTGCAAATTAACTGCCAAGCGCGGGGGAAAACGGGATCACTTGGAGAGTGGTAACCACGGGTTACCTTTCATACGCCTAAAGATAAAGCTGCAGTGTGGGATCTTGGGAGAATAATTAGGAGAAGAAAACAGAAAGTTACCGTTTGAAACAAAAAGGCATCCAGCTGACGACTGGCAACCGCGGGAGCCGATAAATAAGCGGGGAGGCCAGGCCCAGATGCCTCCGGACTCAGCAAAGTATTACAGTACAAACATTTTAAAGGCTTTAGCAATGTTTAGGAAATACAGTACAAGTTCTCTTTTTTTGTGGTGGTTGTTGTTGTTCTTTTTCTCTTCCTTTCCAAATGGACTTAACCCTTTGAGCACTGAGTTTATTTTGAGCATTCTTGGATTGCTAATAAATACCTTTAAAAACAGATGTGCAAGACAGTTCGGATACCGCCTGCCGCGAACGCCGGGCGGGCCTCCTCTGTTCAGACTGCTCAAAACAAATGACAACACAGCGCTAATAAATATGTATAATTTAAACGGGGACCTCTAGCAATATAGATGTACTGTGTAGCAAAACAAACAATACTTTGCTTTCAGATAATGTTTCTGTATACTTTATAAATGCTATCTGTGGTACCTTCTGTATAATTTACAATGTTTGCATGTAAAAAAAAAACACAAAACAAAACAAAACAAAAAAAACCAAAACCCATAGACCTTAAAAAAGGAAAAGGAATATACACTATACACAGGCAGATGCCCGGGGCAGAGCAGGTACAGAAAACACCGTTGCTATAAATGCAGGGGGGAAAGGTCATTTAACCACAATCACATTTTTCATAGGAGAGTCTGAAATCTATACAATATATACATCTATGTTTCAATGTGAAAATAATATTCTTTTAAATTTCAAGGCGTGTGATAACCCCTGCAGACCTGCCCCCATGGAGGTTCATAGTATTCATTATAACGAAGCTGGTAAGGAGTTTAAAAAACAGAGCTTCATACACTATTATCATTTTATTTTATTTTTTTTTTAACCAAACGAATGCAAAAGTGCTTCAAAGTACTCAGAGGGCTAAACATGAAGGGTGAGAAACGCCGGCGCGGCGGGGCCTCGGGCGAGACGCCTAGTGAAACGGTCTGTTAATGCATGCAGCGAGGAGCGTCAGGGCGCTCACGACCAAATCCCATGTACACAGAGTCCCACACACTTAGACTGGGTTCCAACCTCCATATTTACCAGTGACAACGGCTGATCACGCACCTCTATTCAACACTGTACAGTCATACAAAACAGTCCGGCCCGGCGCGGCGCCCGCGGCGGGCACCTGCGCGGCCGGGGCCGAGGGGCCTCAGCGCGGGCCGCGGGCGTCCGGACAAGCAGGTGCTACTGCTTCTCCAGCTCGGAGACGTACAGAAGGTGGTCCTCCGGGGACTTGCCGTGGGTCTTGCTCAGGTGGAGTTTGACCGCGTGTTTGCTGGCGAAAGTCCGCTTGCACAGTTTGCACTGGTAGGCGGTGCCCAGGTCCTCCTCGGGGGAGGACGTCATCAGCTTTTCTGACGGCGACTTGGTTTGTGCTATCTGACTGTCAAGCTGCTCCGCGGACAGTTTGGACAAGTCCCGGAGCCGGAAACCCAGGTGGGACTCCAGGTGGCTGATGTACGTGGAGGGAGTCCTGATTTGGGACGCGCAGTCGTTACAAAAGAACACGGGGTGGCCCGTGTCCAAGTTTTTGAGGAACTTGGTCCCGCCTGTCCTTCGGAGCTGGTACTTCACATTGGCGAGCCAGTGGCTGATGGTGGTCATGGAGAGCCCCGTGAACCGGGAGATGTGCATGCGTTCCTGGGGGCTCAGGTCGGACATGATGAACTTGCCCTCCGAGGTCTGCCGCAGGCTGGCGGCAAACTGGGCCTGCAGGATCAGCAGGTGCTGCGGGTTCCAGTTGGACTGGCGGCCCTTCCGCTTCTGGGCGGGCGTGGCCTCCTCGGCCTCCTCCAGCGTGGCCCCGTCGACGTCGGACTTCTCCGAGATGCTGGACGGGGTGGAGGACTTGGACGTGTGGCTCTCCGTCAAGTTCTTCAGCATGTCGGAGATGTCCGACAGGGCGTTCTCCCGCAGCGGCGAGCTGGACATGAACGAGGCGACCGCGGACGTCTTGGCCGTGGTCGCCGTGGACGAGGAGGCCGCCGGGCAGCTGGGCGTGGGCGACAGCAGCCCCGAGCCCAGCAGGGAGCCCTTGTCGGGCTTCCCTTTCGTCAGGTCGATGGGCTGGTCGTTGCTGGTGTGGTAGAAATAGCGGTCCAGGTGGTCCGCCTTCTTGGCCTGCAGGGGCGGGGGGGTGGCCACGGCGGCCTTCTCGGCCAGGCTGTTGCTCATCTTGAACAGCATGCTCATGGGGTCCAGGGCGGGCAGGGAGGGCTTGGCAGCCTTGCCCAGGTGAATGTTCATGACCGACTGGAGGGCGCTCAGGGGGTTCACGAAAGGTTGCTCCGGCGGGTGCTCGGTGATGATGGCGGTGCTGCTGCCCAAGCCGCCGGGCACAGGCTTGCCCAGCTCCTGGCCGTTCTCCACGGGCTCCGCCGGGGGGCTCCCCTCCTTGCTGCCGTCCCGCGGGGGGCTGGGGCTGTGCTCCTGGCTGCGGAAGCCCCCGTCGCTGGAGGCTTCCATCTTGATGGGCTCGCTGACGTCACTGCTGCAGGGGGACGGGGTGGCCCGCTTGGGCGGGGAGACCTTGCCCTCTGGCTCCTTCATCTTCTCCTCCACCTTGGCCACCTTCTCGGTGACCTTCTTCACCAGCTCCTCCATGGCGTGGAAGTTTGTCTTGGGCATGGGTGAGGTCTGGCTGCTGGGTGGGGAGACCAGGGTCTGGCTCTTGGTGGGGGACAGGATCTCACTGTTGCCGAACACGGGTTTTAGGGGTGCGCTCTTCCCCGACGAGCCCAGGGACAGCTTCATCATGTTGGGGAGCTGGTAGGCAGCGTGGATGCTGGGGTAGCCGCCCCAACTGGGGGTGCCGTTCTGGGCCTTGTTGATGGCAGACGTCACGGTGTTCTCGAGGGACTTCAAGATGTCCAGCCCCCCCTTGGGGCTCTCCTCTAAGTCGTTCTCAGTCAAGTAGTGGTACTTGGAGGAGATGTCGTACTTCTCCTCCTCCTCACAGGCCTTCTCCTTGTCCTTGGGCTTCTCGTCAGGGGGCCCCTTCTCCTTGTCCGCCTCCTTCTTGACCTCCACGCTCAGTTTGGGGGAGACGCTGGCCGGCGTGTGGGAGGGGGAGGTGAAGGTGGTGGCCGCCAGGGGCACGGACTGCACCTTCTCGTCCAGCAGCGTGGTGACGGCGGGCGTGACGGGCGTCTCCATGATGGGCTTCCCCTTCTTCATGGCCGAGTTCGTGACCTTGATGAAGTGGCCGGTGACCATCATGTGGGCGGTGAGCTCCTGCAGGGAGTCGTGGGAGCTGCCGCACTCCATGCACTTCAGGATCTGGGACTTGCGGGCCTCGAAGTGCCAGGCGTAGCTGGCCCCGTTCTGGTGGCCGTAGCGGTTGTTGGGCGTGATGTAGGGGCTGGGGTTCTTCTGCAGCACGTCGTTGGCGTCCGCCAGCGCCGCCCTGGGGGTCCCGCCGGTGGAGTCCGGGGAGCTGGGCAGCTCCAGCTCCAGCGGCGCCTTCTTCCGCGGGGCGGGGATCATCTTGGGGGCGACGGGCGTGACGGGCTCCTTCAGAGGCACTTTCTGGTAGTGTTTCGTCTTGATCATGTGCACGCTCAGGTCCTGCAGGGACTCGAAGGAGTGGCCGCAGTACATGCACTTGAGCACCTTCTGGGCGTCCTCCTTGCCCTCCATCTCCAGGAGCGAGCGCTTGCGCGGCTTGGACCAGCGCTTGGGGTTGTTGTTGTCCGCCTCGTGGTTGTCGTCGCGGTAGTGGCCCGTCTCGTTCATGTGCACCGTCAGCTCCACCAGCGTGTCGTAGGCCGCGCTGCAGTCGCGGCAGCGGAACTTGCTGGCGCCCGTGAAGATGGAGCCGTAGAGCTTACTGCTCTGGCGGTACAGCTGCACCGTGCTGAACAGGCTGGGCTCGGGCAGGGCGCGGCTCTGCGCCGCCTGCTGCAGCGTCTTGGCCACGGCGCTCTGGTGCCAGTCGAAGCTGCCGCTGCCGCAGCTGCTGCTGCTGCTGCTGCTGCTGCTGCTGCTGCCCGCGTGCTTCTCCGAGGGCGGCGGGTGCAGGCTGAGGCTGAGGTTGGACCAGTAGGAGTTGGACAGGAAGTTGTTGTACACGGCCTTCATCTGCTCCAGGCTGTCCGACACGGACGTGTCGTCCAGCGCCGCCGCGCCCTCCTTGGCCTCCTCCTCGTTCTTGACGGAGCCGCTCTCGAAGTCGGCCATGCGGTCGCTGGCCTCGCTGATGTGCGACTCGCTGTCCACGTCGTGGCCCGAGAACTCCGCGGCCGGCGAGTTCTGGTAGCTGGCGCAGGGCTTGCTGAGCTCCTGGTCCGGGCACGCGTGCTTGGCCGACGGCTCCCCATCTGCCGCGCTCTCTTCGGGGTCCGGCTCCTCCTCGGCCAGGGCAGCAGTCTTCAGCTCGTCCGAGACGTAGGCTGCGGCGGCGACCGGGGAGGGCGGGCAGGGGCGACAGGAATGGGAGGAACCGGGAGGAGAGAGAGAGAAAAGAAAGCATTAGTCGGTGCTGGTTTACCGGCACGATCTGCCCAGCTCCCGGATGACGCGGCCACGCCGAAGGGCACCGTTATTGGTAAAAATTAAATAGTTACAATGTGGTGTTTCTTTGGAACAAAAAAAAATATCTGCTCTTCAAACATAATTTGCCACCTTATTCTTCTCAAGGGGCAACAGCTTGAAATTAAAACTAAATTTGAAATTAATGAAGCACATTCTGGAGGTGGCATTCATTTCTGAAGTAATAAATTACTTGTATCAACCTCAGAGACAGCAGTTCCTGTCTGTCAATTAATACGTCTTATGCTTCTCCTACCCTAATGCATTTCTTAACAGACAGATTCACAATTTAAATTAAGCAAGCATTTTTTACTCATTACATTTTTGAGGCTCGATCTTTAATAAATAGAAGGGACAAAAAACATCCATAAATTTTTTTTTTTGCACAAAGTAAAAAAGAAAGTACATCCATTGAAATAAATGAAAAACAAGATTTGGGGGAGCTTTTTTTTTTTTTCCCTTTCTTTCTTTCTTCTGGAAAAGCAGGTGTCCTGAAAGCTCAGCATATGTCCTAACAGAGAGGGGTGCGGGTCTGTCCCCGAGGGGAGGAAGACGCACGGCCGCCCGCCCGGGCCTGTGCCCTGGCCGCCCGCCGTCCCCAGCCGCGCCCGACACCTGGTTCGGGACGATTGGTATGCAGCGCTCATCCCGCTGCATAAACATATACAAGACCTTCCCGTGGACCTTACAAATGTCAAAGTGTTCGCTCCTTAGACTACTTTGTCAATATTTACTCAGCACCGGCTCCGCGGGCATCCAACAGGGACCCCGTCTCTCTGGACGCCGCGAGGCTGGGACGGGGCCCCGTGTGGAAGCCCAGGGCCCGCGCAGGGCGGGGCGGGGCGGCGGTGGGTTCCAGGGGCCCACGCCCAGGACGCGGACCCCGCAGACCTCCTGTGGACAAGGTGCTTTTGCCTTCATTCTCCTGCATCCGGTTACCCCGGAGCAAAGCTCGCCTGTCACTGAAAACCGACTTGGGGTGTTGAGGGCAGGACTTGGCGGTTGTCACCCGATCACAGGGTCGCCAGGACTCGGAGCCAACTCGGCGGCTACAGGCCCTGTGGTGACTGACTCAGGGTTCTCAGCCAGAGGATTCGGGGGCAGGGGCTCGCCTGCTCCTCGGCCCCTGTTCCCTGTTCGCTGCCGAAGGCCCGTGGGGAAGGGTCGGACCTGCACGGTGCAGGGCTGTTGGCGGATTAAACCCAAAAACTGGCTCGTAGAAGAGAAAAAGACGCTTTGCTGTGGAATGCACTGTCACCGCTAAAGGTCTGCCCTAGACGAGCTTCGCGCCAGGAAACAGACGGTGACGCGACTGGGACAGGTGAACCACAGGAGTCGCCCGCCGCCCCGGCCGTCCAGGTCTGTGTGCTTCCGTCCTGCCCTCAGGCGCCTGCTCCTACGCTGAGACGGTCGGGTCGCGACACCCCAGCAGCACGGGCGGCGTCCCGGGCGCGCGGTTCGGACCTGCCTCGGAGGCAGGGACGGTGCTCCCGAGTGGACGAGGGAGCGGGTCCCAAGCATTCAGCGTGTCCCTTATGAATGACAGAAGAGAGTGCCCTCTGGTCATCGGAGGAGACATGCGGAGGGGACGCCCACGGTGACGCTATGCACTCAGAGCTGACAAATTCAAGTGGGATGAGCTCTGTCCCTGGGGCGTGGGGAGCCAGGCTGTGGGCTGCATGTCTCCCACGAGTGGGGGCGTCAGAAAAGGAGCAGGGGACACTGCAGAGCTGCTCCCGTCCCCACCGCCACCCTCGGCTCAGCACCGTGTGGGGACCGGGCTCAAAGACCCCCACGGGCCGCGGGGTGGGAGGGAGGAGGAGGAGAGCAAGACAGAGGGTCCCAGTCTGCCTGGAACTGTCCTGTCGGAGCGCTGAGTCCCTGCCCCTGGGGCTCCCCTCAGCCCTGGCCGCTGGGGACGCTCAGAGCACCTGGCTGCCCGGCTCCTGGAGCCCGGGGCCACACGAACAGTGGGGGGTCTCGGCACTGGTCTCCTGGAGACGCCCGCGACCCCCACCCTGGGCACTCTGCTCCCATTCCAGCCCCTGGGAACTAAGCCTGGGAGAGGCAGGAATCCAGACACGGCCCCCCTGAAGCCGTTACGGGGAAACCAGGCAGCCAGAAGAAGCCGGGACAACGGTGGACACGAAAGAGCTCACTGTGGCCTGAAGGCCACCAGCTAAGGGAACGCCGAGTGGCTTCGCCTCCCACCCAGGATCCGTGGCTCCCTGAGGATGGGCCTCGAAAGCCCAGCTCAGCGGGGGGCACAGAGCCGGCTGTCCGGAGCTCCCGGCACCCCAGTCCCCACAGCCAGTCCCATGGTGCCCCTGACGGCAGAGCAGAGGGCGAAATCCACACTGAAGGAGGGGAAGGCCGGCCTCCCTGGCGGGGACAACACTCCACTCTGAGGACAATTAAAAATCGTTGGTGCTGCCCGGCCGGTGTGGCTCAGTGGATGGAGCATCGTCCCCTGGACTGAGAGGTCCCGGTTCGATTCCCGGTCAGGGCACATGCCTGGGTTGTCGGCTGGATCCCCAGTAGGGGGCGTGCAGGAGGCAGCCGATCCATGTTTCTCTCTCACATCAATGTTTCTATCTCTCTCTAAAGAATCAATAAAAACACATTAATAAAAAAACTTTGGTCCAAGAGGCCCTGAGTCCTGGGAGACCTGGCCTCACACCGCACACCGCCCGGCCTTGGCGAGGCTCAGAGGCTCCTGACAAGCACTCTCGCACACTGCCGTGACGGGGACCTCACCACCGATGAAAGCAGCCGCTTCCTTTACACCAGCGGTTCCCCACCTTCCTGGTGCCGCGACCCTTTAGTACAGGTCCTCCTGTTGTGGCAACTCCCAACCATAAAATTATTTTCGTTGCTACTTCATAACTGTCATTTTGCTGCTGTTATGTCTTAGGCGACCCCTGTGAAAGGGTCGTTCGACCCCCACAGCGGTCGCGACCCCCAGGCTGAGAACGGCTGCTCTAGACCCTTGGGGAGAAGGGTGTCCTTAGGCTGAGCTAACACGTCCTCCCCTGCGCGTGAACAAGACAGCACATGGCCCTTCTGCCGGGTGTCCAATAACTGCAGCCCCCCAGGAACATCGCGCCCACTCTGACCACGAGCTCAGAGCGTTGTGAGAGAATTCTAAGGGGCGATGGCAGAGGGGCCCCAGGACGGAAAGGGGCACCCACCCCACAGACCTCCGCTGTCCCCAGCCGGCCAGGAAGTACTGTCTTCTGGGCCGGGACCACTTTCTCTCTGGGCCTCGACCTCCCCGCCCGCACAGACATGGGACCCGCAGGTCCTTCCTCCTCCGTCTCTGATTTCCTGAGAAAGGGGGAGCTCGCTGCTCCTGTTCACTCCCCTGCGACGCTGGGCATCACCCCGTCCTCAGCCTGCCCCAGTCTGGACTGAGGAGACTGGGCCGGGCAGCCTGGGTCAGGCAGGGAGGACAGGACAGACTGGGTGGACAGTGGGGTCAGGTGGGGACAGGTGGGCTGGCCAGGAAGCAGTCCCCATCGTGTGGCCTCCGGGGTCTGTCCAGCTGGGAGCCGGGGGCCCACAGCGTCCTGCTCGGCCTGGGAGCCACCATCCGAACCCTGGCTGCTCCCAACGTCTACGTCTCCTGTCTGAGTTCTCCAAGGTCAAAGGCCAGTTCTCCATCCTCACATATTGTGTTTGTTTGTCCGTATCCTCACTGAGGATATTTTTCTATATATCATCAGACAGAGTGGAGGGGGAGAGAGAAACATCGATGTGAGAGAGACGCATCGAGAGAAACATCGATGTGAGAGAGACGCATCGACTGGCTGCCTCCCGCACGACGCAACCAGGGCCGGGGACGAACCGCAACCAAGACTGAAATCGAACCCGTGACTCGTCAGTCTGCAGGCCGATGCTCTAACCGCTGAGCCACACCGGCCAGGGTGTCCTCAGTTTTGTGCTCAGTAGGTGAGCAGCCTGCACTCACCGTCTGCTTGGCAGAGAGGCCACCTGGAGGTCTCCTCCGGCAGCACAAACCCGTGACCAGCCTTCGCGACGGGATCCACTCCTCTCCGTCGCTCTGACCCCGGCCTGAGCCAGCCCCCGGCCTCTGGCCCTCCTCGGGGAACCCCGACTGCAGCCCAGCCCCTCGCGTCCATCGTCCACGCAGAAGCCACGGATCACTGTCCATCAGGCGGTCACGTCCACCCCCTTGGACGCCCTCAGTGACGTCCCATCGGGCTGGAAGACAGCCGAGCCCTCAGAGCAGCCCCAGGTCCCCACCGTCCGGCCTGCTTCCTCTCCAGCCTCTCGCTCTTCACTGCCCCCTGCCGCCTCCTCATGGACCCCGGGGCACTGCCCAGAGGAGGGGTGTCATCCACCCTCCCGGGCCCAGGGGGAAGGCCCGTCCGGGGCAGGCTCTCCGAACCAGCTCATCATCCCCTCAGCACCCTCCCCCTTCTTATTACAAAGCATCCGAGATGTTCAAACAGACTCAGCTCCGTGGGTCAGGGTGGGCTGCCACCTCTGCTGCATCCCTGCTGGTCTGGAGCAGCCACGCCACGTGGCCACTGGCAGGCGAGTGGACGCACGGACGCACGGACACCACCCTCAACCTCTCCCAGCCTCCGCAGCAGCTCCCGGACAGCGCGAGGACCCGGACCCCGGCCAGCTCCAGAGCGACGCGGACGGTCGAAGCCCTCGCAGGGTGGATCCTGAGGGAGGGACTGGCAGGGACAGCCCCCACCCCAGTGGGGCCTCCGTGCTGGGGAGCCAGCCCTGGGGCCCACCGCGACCCTCCGCACGAACACATCACACTCTTTTCTCGAGCAGATGACGGGGAGCCCGGAGGAGGCAGCTCGCCAGGTGCGGGGCCCTCGCTCCAACCACACGGG